AAGGTGCCGACGTGCGCGGAGCACGACCTGGAGAACTACAGCATGTACTGCGTGAGCTGCCGCAGCCCCGTGTGCTACCAGTGCCTGGAGGAGGGCCGGCACGCCAAGCACGACGTCAAGGCCCTGGGCGCCATGTGGAAGCAGCACAAGGTAAGGAGCGATGCCCCAGCATGAGGTGCCTGCCATGGCCCCTTCACTCTTGGAGCTGTCAAGTCTGTCCCTGCTGTGGGCTGGTCACAGAGTTCTGGGGAGGCCTCTCTGGCCCCCCCGTCCTCTTGCAGGTGGCTGCAAGCACAGGGAGGGTACAGGATGCTCCTTCTGTTGTGGCTTTACTCCCCTTCTAATTCTGTCAATGATGGAGGGTGGCCTGGGGCCACCAGAAACTTTTAGCTGTGAAAGTGTGAAAGGGATACATTGGAGGCTTCCTGACCTCATGTTGTGTCACAGGGCTCTTTGAGGATAGAGGGAGAGGGAAATACTCAAAAGAGGAGAGCAACAGTAGCTGGAAGGTCCTGTCATGACAGAAAAATGCACCAGGAAAAGTAGTATGGGGCTTGGGAGCAGATAAAGCACTTTCTGGCTTACCTAATGTGGTAGTTCAATTCATCCTGCCCTGACATAGGGGCTCCTTTGTGGTCCCTGGAGCTCCTCCAGCAGATTGCAGAGTGGCTCACTGGGCAGCAAGTACAGTTGGCCAAAACCCAGTGAGGTTGTTGGGCTGTTTGGGCACAATCTCCTCTTCAAAAGTCAGACATTCAACTATTTGAGTGAAGAGCAAGGCAGAATAAACTTAGAAGTTAAAAAAGAGTGCAGAAAGTTGGTTCATTCTTGTTAAGAATAGTGGACCCAGGGGCAGTTACCTGTTATTGAATATGAACATGGAGAGAAGACTCCAACACCTCAGTGCCGATGGGGGCTCCGTGGAGCTCCCAGCTGTCCTCTGGGAGAAGGACTTGTCCTACAGGCGGTGTCAGGAACTTGGGTGGCTCTGCTGCCCACAGTGCTGCTTCCTTTTCGCTCCATGGGAGTTGGCAGAAAAGGAAACACTGAGACACCATTTCAGACTCTGCACGAAAGGCCAAGGTCAAGACTGATCCCAGCCATCTTCAGCAACGTACTTCTTGAGCTCAGTCTAACCCAAGATAATTGGCAAGGAAAAATGGCTAAATTTTAAAGCTTTAATTTTAAAGAAAAATAATACCACTTGGTGTGAACTGCACTGTTTGTCCGTCTGAGAAAGATGAACTACTTCAATGTGTTTTTTAGTTGGAATATTTTCTGCCAAGGGCTTAGTCATCTCCTCACCAGCGTGTGATTATTACTTGTTTAGAGCAGAAATTCTCTTGACTGATAAGCAGCAGATCACAAATTCACAGCTTTTGCTACTTATGCTAATGGCAGAATCCAATACTGAGCAGAATTATTTTAATGAGCAGTGACAGAATTCAATGTTCAGATATGGCTAATCTCTTGCAGATTGTGAGAGACCAGCTGGTGTTGTGTTAAGGTCTAGTTTGAGTTAAAATAGTTTAATGCCTTTTTGAAGAATGCGATAAACTCTAGGGTAATCTGAATGCATAGTCAATCATTTTCTTTTTCCTTCTTTTTTCCTATTGTCAAAAATTGTCAAAAGAATGAACGATACTGTGCTGTTTTATATTTTCCTCATATTTTTTTCTGGGAGTACACTGTCACACTGTCACAGAATGTGATTTTTCTCTTGATATATATATTCTCAATCTTAATGTGAAAATTTTAGTGAAATCAAAAAAAAAACAACACCCAAATTAACTAATTTTGTGACTCAAATTGTTCCCTCATGGACATAATTTTTTCCCAGAACAATACGCTTGGCAGAATAAATATAATGGAGCCATATAGACAGACAGCCTAAATGATCAGCTCACATCCATTCAGATAAATTGCTTTGAAATTAGATACTTGTGCTTGGCAATAGTTCTCACAGACAGCAATTTCTACAAGTTCATTACCTGTAGCAGTTTTGGCCAAGCCGTCAATTACTTACGTAGAAATGTTGTACATTGAATGGTATGCCAAATGTAATTCAGGTTTTCTGCATTCTCGCCAGATAATCCAGGTATACCTGGTAAAGAGGCAAGTATAAAGGCTTGTCCCTCACAAGCACTCTTAGTCCAGTAAATTTAACAGATTGACATTTTTCTGTAACAATATAGTTGGTGATCAGCTGATAGGCATCTGCTTATCGCCTGCCAAGGCAAAGCGACCAGATTTCTTAACCTCGAGAGGGCTTTCAGTACAATTTCCACCCTCCCACAGGGCGCTATTATGCCACAGCACCAAACTTAACAACACAATTTTACTACTGACTCTAGACCTGTTTTTGACAATTGTTGTGCCTGTCCTCAGCCTTTGGAGCCTTTTCAATGCCATCCACCTCTGCATTAGCCTATTGTAGAAACTGTTTGACTACTGCTTTGTCTGAGCCTTATCTAATAATATAGTGGTATATTACAATGTATAGTGGTATATCACAAAGTATGTAAGCTCGTCTGTTTACTGTTTTAGACCATGCAATGAGAAGTGCATTTACACCCTCAGCTGTAGTATTGGCTTCACAGCTGTACAGGGCTAGCTGACTCCTGTTAATGCCACAGGTTTCCCCATTATGCTGCTCTATACCATTTCCCTTTTAGAGAAACTAAAAAATGATGCAGATTGGTGGACATATCTAAGCTCTGCCCACTCCATATGGATATATATATACACATATATATATACACGCACACACACATACATGTATAAATGCTGGGTGATATGAAGGAATAGCATCAGAAGGTCCATCTGGATAGGCCTGTAGAGGTCTGTGAAGGGCAGGCAGTCTAGCTGTCAAAGAAAAATATTGGTGCCAGAGTGCCTCTGTTTTATGCTGACCTCAAGCGTTGTGTTCCCAAAAACATGAAGGTTGTTTCAGGACTCAGCACCAGGATGAGTTTATCTAATCAATAGTTAATCTGCTGCCAGAGAGAGGTGGAAGGAAACAAAGTTAAATGAGCATGAACTGTTCGTTTGAAAAAGTGCGATGGAATTATCTGGCTCATTTTCTAAAATCAAAGGAAGCATGAGTCTTCCATGCCTATCGGGATTTAATTACTTGCTCTCATTATCTCTCTGTCCCTGTATTTGATAGAAGTAGAAAGTTTGTGTCCATCTCTAGAACCGTCATTTTCTGTTGTGATACCAAGTATTAAACTAAAGTAGCAGTATGTAGAATATTGTTTGTCAGGAGTTATTAATTGTGTTAGTCAGTGGAGCTTGCTTGTAACGTTTCAGTTTGGCTTCAAGTAAATATTTTTTCAGCATGGGAGATTGTTCTGAGTGAACAGGGCATTTTTTAATGCTTTGCTTGGTTTACTAAGGGCTTAGTCATGTAGCTCCATTTGATTTTAATGGGAAATACATGACTAAATTCCTCTGCTTTGTAAGGTATCTTTTACACATGCTTAGAAAAACAAGGCTATTATCTCTAAGTGGGTTTCATAAATGGAGGTCTGGTCTTCTCCTTAGTTTCATGCTGCACTTGCATTAGTGCAACCACAGCTTTTAACGAGAGTGGAGGTTCACTTAGGAGCCCTTTGATCAACGACTTTGTCAGGACTTTCTATTCCAGTTCTGCTGAATGGTAGTGTGCCAGGAAATGAGGGTGACTGTGCTCACTGACATCGGTACCTATGTTGGTTACAGTTCATCTGCGTGGACTCAGATTTCTATGGCTGCTGTCATGACTGTACACATTTTTTGACTCTTTTTATTTTTTTTTCTGGTAAAATAAACTTTGTATCTGATTTCAGAGTGAGGGTGGACGTTGGAGAGGTAAAGTTTTACATTTGCTGGTCCAGTGATTGTCTTCAATGTGAAAGACAGGAGGTCTTGTCACACTGGGATGATTCTGGTGGTCCAGTCACTGGAAGAACATAGGATGCTTTTGCCTGCTATTTCTTTCTCTCTTCCTCCCCTGCTGCTTTGTCATATTCTAGTTTCACCTTGTCATATGCCAGTTTGACAAGCCAAACACTCAAGCATGCCTTGTGGATGGAGGGGGGCTGCAATCCAGAAGAGTATGCTTTAAATCTCAGTTAGCTCATGGGGAGCTAGTTTAAAGTCTTGATGGGCTGATCTGGCAGAAAATAAGGACCTTTTCAAGGGATTAGGGTCTGATCCAGTGAGTCCACTAAGCTTTCAATCAAATATGATTGCTTTCCTTTTTTTGTGTGTGTGTGTATGTAGTGGTAGGAATTTGTGCAAGAGAACATTGAATAAATATTAACAGACAAACACAATAATGGACAATCTTCCCATTACATTTGTTACAAGTGTGTTGTGGTAGAGCATGTTATATATTCAACTTTAGCGCTGATGTACTACCTACAACTGGGCCTAAAGGGGAAAGTTTGTGCAACTATGAGGAAAACAACACAAAAAAAAAAAAACAAGGCTGGCTTCTTTTTTTTTGTAATTGAGTTCTGGTTCACAGTAAAAGTGAGTATATACCTCCTTATAGCACAGCTGTACAGAGTTACCCAGGTCCCTCTTTGCCTGTATACTGCTGTCTACCTTAGGGGCTGAGGTGCGAAACGTGCATTAGGAGCTGCCACACTCCAATCTTCTTCCTCCTACTCAAATGAGCGAGAGCAAGAGAGGATGTGGAGGAGACATCCAGACTGTCACGAAGCAAGTTCAGTCTTGCCAGCATGAAGAAGACATGAGCTGTGCCCTTTGCAGAGATTCAGTTATTTACTTCCCTTCAGGAACAAAAGGAGGGCAGAGAGTGAATGGTGATTTACTGACTTTCAGTTAGGTCTCCTCTTAGAGGACTTGTAACCTTTGTGCCTTCCCACATACAACATCCTGTCTGAAGGTGCCTTCTACACCTAAGGAATCAAGAGGAGACTCTAAGGTTCTCAAAGTCTGACACTAGAAAAGATGTTTTGCTTTCTGTTTCCTGATGTCAATTGTTAGATCCATTTGCTGTGGATAATTGACTGAGCTTTGGCAATCTGGTAGCTGCCAAGTCTGGCTAAGGAGTAGATGCAAGAAGAGACTAAGTTTCTAACCTGGGACTTAGCACAAGAGTCCAGACCTTGTGTTAGGTGTACTCTGTGTCAGCAAAGCCAGGTATCACAGAGCAAAACCAAAATGGTCTCTTTGACACTGACTGATGAGACTTATCATGTCACCATTAAGTGTATTTTTACAAAGAACTAATGTGCAGTCTGGACTTGTCAAGGGCAGGCATGTGGAACCACATGGTTTCTGAAATCCTCATCAGGCTTGGAGGAAAGCTATGTGAAGAACAGCACTGCTCAGGGGATAGGAGCTCTGGATGTGCTCAGGAGCAGAACGTCAGCTCCCTTCAGATCCTTACAGGCAACTGGGAACCTGCCACTTCAGTCTGGAGATCTCAGCTGCTAGCTGAGCAAATGAAAAGTTTGGTCTTCAATGTGAGCTTACAACAGATACGCTCCTTATCTCCTCGCATCAGGAGATAAGGATGCCAAGGAGATCAGGATCCCAAGAAGGCCAATGGTCCATATGAGAAGGAGTGTTGCCAGCAGGTCAAGGGAGGTGATCCTCCCCCTCTGGTCAGCTCTGGTGAGGCCACACCTGGAGTATTGGATGCAGTTCTGGGCTGCCAAGTACAAGAGGGAGATTGATCTTCTAGAGAGGGTCCAGCATAGAGTGACAAAGATGATTAAAGGACTGGAGCCTCTATCTTATGAGGAAAGACTAAGCAAGCTGGGCCTGTTTTGTCTGGAGAAGAGAAGACTAAGAGGAGATTTGGTCAACACATTCAAGTATCTGAGGGGTGAATGTAGGGAGAATGGGGCCAGGCTCTTCTCCATGGTGGCCGGTGACAGGACAAGGGGTAGTGGGTACAAGTTGAAACATAGGAAGTTTAATCTCCACGTGAGGAAGAACTTCTTTCCTGTGAGGGTGACAGAGCCCTGGAACAGGCTGCCCAGAGAGGCTGTGGAGTCTCCTTCTCTGGAGATCTTCCAAACCCGCCTGGATGCCACCCTGTGCCACGTGCTCTAGGTGTCCCTGCTGGAGCAGGGGGATTGGACTAGATGATCTCTAGAGGTCCCTTCCAACTTCAAACATTCTGTGTGATTCTGTGTGTGATCAGGCAAAAGTTATCCAAAGGGTTCTTTTTAATTTTTTATTTATTTCTGTTTTTCCAGAAATATTCACTCTTTGGTTAGGCTGAGGCATGGAAAACTGGAGCCCCTAGGGGATTTAGATTTGTCTTTGAGGTTCTAATATGTCTTAGGTGTGGTTGAATCTACCACACTGATAAGGACTGCAAGCTTTGATGGAAAAAAAACACTATTTTGATAAGCTTGGGGATTTTTCAGCATGACAGATGTTACTGTGTAAGTGTAAGACTATTATTTCCTTATATACGTGGGTAGTTGTCTTTTTTAAAGGTATTTTGACTTATTAAGTCATTGCAGTAAAGTGGAGTGTGTAGACACAATAGTTGACCGCCCCCACATGCATATTTCACCTTTATTAAATCTTATTACAATTAAAATCTTAATTATTCTTTTCTAGCACAAACACTCTGTGTGTGTAAGAGTACATGTGACAGCAAGTAAGCCTTTTAGCACATTGCTAATTGTCAAAATCAAGGATTAGTAAGAAACACATTTGCATTTTATCTCTAATATTACTTTTTTTCTTGCAGGCACAGCTATCTCAGGCTTTAAATGGCGTTTCAGATAAAGCAAAGGAAGCAAAAGAGTTTTTGGTTCAGCTGAAAAATTTATTGCAGCAGATACAGGTAACTGTAGAATATTAGTGCTTTGGGTAATACAGTGATCAATAGAGCTGAGTGAATAATTTATTTGATGACTTTGTCTTCTTTGCTGTTCTCATATTTCCTGGAATCATCTAACCTTCTTGAATGTATTTGCTAGACAAAATTATTCATCAAATAATGTCTGCAAATCTCTCTTAGCTTTTAGACCAGTTGTTTTCTGTTTATTGCAAGAAACTGATACTTCATACTGAACATCTGAGCTGTGTTGATTAGTATTTGATTGAATCCATTGGCCATGCTCTAGGCTCCTACCTGACTGTAATTCCTGAAACTGGGCACTTAGTATAAATTCTTATTTTTACACATTCAGAATTAACTTCTTGTTTTTCATGTGGCATTTGGCTATAAATGTGTTTGTTTCTGGATAAAATCCAGTCAATCTGCTTACCAGAATATTTATAAGAAGTCAAAAAAGAAAAAAGAAACTAATGTTGCCAAATCAATTTGGTCACTTAATGAAGAAGAAGAAATTTTCATGCATGTAATTGGACAGAATTAATAATCAGAAAAGGACTCCTGGTTAGTGCGATAATTGAAGACACAAAACCAAAATGAAACAGATTTCTTTTTCAACTAAATTTGGACTCTTCTGGGTTGGGGGTCAAATGATCTGCAAGTCCCTTCTCACCCTACAGAATATGACTGAGTTGGAGCTTCCCCACAGTGAGCTTGCAGGGTACAGGATGTGATGCTTGTTATCTGCAGGAGCACTCTGCTCAGTATGGCTTCTGTGGAATATATATCATCTCCTCTACTGTATGCCTGCTCTGCTGGTTGTCCATCTCTCATCGGTGGGCAAGCCCTGCTTCTGCCACTAACAGAAAGCCAAAACAGAATTTTGAAAATCTGTATTTGGTTTGGAATTTAATCACTGAGAAGTTCCTCTTAACACTCCAGACTATTAATTCGCACCACAAATGCTGCCGAAGTTCTCAAACTGCCTCTCAAACAGAGGTGGCACAAGCCACCCTCATATTCTTCTGTGACACTGCCCAGTGAGAGGGAGAGAACAAATGGAATAAAAGCACATCCTATTGAGAGAAACCAGCATGAGGCTACCAACACGTACCTGCTCCATGACATGTTTTGGAAATGAGAGATTTCTCTACTGACTTTAAATATCTAAAAGTTAAATAGCTCATCTAACCTAGTCACTTAGGCTTCCTCCATTATCCTAGGCTAGACACTTCTATAGAATTCTTCTTCCTATATGCAGACAGCTATTTTAGGATGGGATAACTCATCCCAAAACAATAATTTGTCACTAATACTTTCCTGAGTCACCTACCTCCATTAAAAATGCATTTTTTTTCTCTCCTGAAATCTAAAGCTGGCCTATTACATCTGTTTATGACTAAGCTGTAAAATCTTTTAATGTGTTTCAATAAAATCACTGGCAAATTGCTCTGCATAAGGGAGCTTCTACTATTAGATCAAAAGACCAGACAATTCCTTTTATGTAGCTCATTGTTTAAATGCTAGAGAAGAACTGAGAAGAGGAAATTGTATCCACTGATTACCCTCTAGAACATAGGTTTGTCTGGATACAAAGCTAGATATGAACCTTACATGCTTAGCCAGTCACCAGCATGAATATGAATGAGGACATGAGTTAATGAGGACAACAAATTTTAGCAAACCAGAATGTAAGGATTAATCTTCTGCACATGTATTATTAAATAAAACAGAGCTAGGGCACAGCCCTGAGTGCTGGATCATGATTGTCCAAACAGTTTAACTCTTAATGAGGTTGCTGGCATAACTTTGTCCCATGACAAATGTCCTTCTTCCAGGTGATGTCTGAGCAGGATTAGGTGATAGCACACATTGGGAATTACTCTCACTAGACAGGTTGCATACAGCCATGCTACTCTGGGGAGAAGAGTTTAGATATGTCACAAGCTGACGTTTGCCTTTTGGCCTATGGGCCAGAAAACAATTCATGGACTGTTTTATGTGGTAGAATGGATATATTGTGTGTGTGTGTAGATTTATATCCAGAATCGTGTGTCTCAGTTCAGGTTAGGACTAATAGATATCTTATTATGGTACCACACACACATACAAACATTTAGCCCTCAGCAAAAATGCCTTAAAAATGTATGTTTACACAAAGGAATGATTCATATATACATTTTATTATCTCGTTTCAATGCAAGGGACAGATAGCCATCCACAGCCTTTTCTCCTCTCTCTGATCTTGCCAGAGCTGCCAGGAACTGTGCCTTTATGCTGCCTGGAGCAATCTGCAAATTCATAACCTACTTTTCTTTTTTTGAGTTTCAGAGATCTGATAGTTTCTGCTCATTTTCCTTCCTTTTTTTTATGAGTCCACTTTTAAAGCTCTTGGTCTACTCTTTTTAGAAACTTCCAGTTCCTTATTGCCTCTGTTGTTTCCTTGTTCTTCCTTGTTGCTGTCATTATCCGATTTGCACATTTTCCCATCTGCTGTAGCAATTTCATCCTTTCTCATTTGAAAAAGGCATACTGCCAAATACCCTGTTTGATGTGTGAATGGAAAACAAGGAGAAAAATGCTGCATCACATCCACTTACTGATTTAGCTTGTACACAGACAGCAGTGCTTCAAGAGTTGCTCATTGGAAGGAAGCTTTAGGGGGAGTCAGGTGTGATGCAAGTGGAGAAGGCAGAGACACAAACATGAAGAGTCTGCAGCAAACCTGTAAACAGTAACTCAGCTCTCTGCTTCCTCCATGCCCCTCTCTCCTCTTGGTGGTAGGTGGTAGGACTTCCATGGAGGCCAGGTCAAGCAGTTTCCAAGGGAAAATGAGCCTTCTTCCCTCAACTGCAGAAAGGGATGCATGGATCATAGTGGGGCGGGGGGAAGAATGCGGTGCTGAAAAATTTACTCTCAAAAGAAGGCTAAAGCAAATGAACTGAAAAGAGAAAGGCATACACAAAAACTAGAAGATAATTATGAGTTGGAGGTGTGTGATGGCTTGCCATAAAGATGCATTCTCCTCAAGCATGTGTTTAAAATAACCTCACTTTTAATGCTTTTTTTTTTTGATATGGTGAACTGTGGGGAAAGCTGGGAGGAGAATTGAAGGTCTGCTGGAAAAAGGAGCCTGAAAGCTTTCTCTGTTTTCTGGTCTCATGAGCAGACAAGGCGAGGAAGAGCCTCTCATTGAGTGAGCGTTACAGTGTGGTTTCCATGGTAGTGAAAGTTGTCCCTAGCAAGTGGGTCAGTACAAGACCTTTTGGTACCATTTACCCACACATCTACAAGTCCAAGCGGGATTCTGTGGCAGCACCATTTTTTCAGAGATTAGATCCCCATTTATGGACAGGTCTCAGCAGGGACCAAAGTGGAATGTACCTGATATCCTGCTGTCTACCTAGCAGGGAGTTTTGTCACAGTGTGAGTAACAGACTGTTTGGTATTTTTCTTTTGAAAAGTTAATCAAATATGTGTTTCCAGAGAAGATACAAGCTAGCTGCATTTGACAAGTGCTGGCTATCTTTTTTTAAAGTACTTGCGACAATAGATACAATCTCAGGAAAAATATTTGTACCCAAGTTACTTCCTTGTAGTGAGACTGTAGATCAGATTCTGGACCATAATTCTGCTAGTTATTTCAAAAGAGTTACAGTAAGGTAATTAAGCAAAATAGGGCTGAACTCTCTTATAATATATATACATACAGGTATGCACTATGTATGTCAGGTTTAGATTTTAAATTGCATTACATTCATGTGTCTTCCAAGCAACCGTTGTCTGCAAAGTGCCAACAAGTGAAGGTTTTATATAATCCTCTTTTGTAGTGTAACATCTTACAATTTTACTTAATAGTAAGCCATTGTTAAAGGTGCAGCTATAAAGAAAACAAAAAGGGAACAGAATATGCTAAGGTTTTGAAAGGAAATCTTTTCTGAATGGAAAACAGATAGGAGTGACCAAGAGCTTCAGCTGTAAAATACACTTTCCTGGATGAATATGACTCTCACCTTCTTCTAGGAGAACGGGTTGGATTATGAAGCCTGTCTTGTTGCTCAGTGTGATGCCCTGGTTGATGCATTAACTCGTCAAAAGGCAAAGCTGCTCACAAAAGTTACCAAAGAACGTGAGCACAAACTAAAGGTGAGCACCACTCTCATGAACTGTGAGTATTCAGGTGACTAAAGCTACTGATAACTGGTATTAATGGGCATTTTAAGTCTCCAGTCCTTTGTACAGTGAAAATTCCTCTTGACAAAATCGTAAAGTTACTCAGCATGTTCAAGCTTTGCATTTCCGTAGACCTGTGTTTTTACACTAAAGATTAGAGATATGATTCAGCAATCTGATGAATTAGGCCATTAGTCTTTGCTTGTATGATGTTTTTGGCAACCTTTTAAGGGATGCTGAGCATTGAAACCTGTGTGTGATTTACATTCTCACTACTTCCAAAAGCAAGGAATCCCTCTGAGCAGACTAAGAATACTTGTTCAAGTAAGGTTTTGGATGTCATTTGAAATCTTATAAATCAGACAAGCCATCTTCAGAGATCTTCTACTCAAAAGAAATAAAGAAAATGCAGGAAAGGGAGGGAAAAGGAAGATATAACTGTCTGAATAAAATGACAATAAAGAGATCTCTAAATGGACAAAAATCCTTGAAATATGGAATTTCTTAATATTGAGGTATTATAGTGCTGGTAACAGTAATATCTTAGACATAAGGAAAAGCTGAAGCGAAAAATCTGAAGTGAAAATCGATGAATAAAATTGAGTCAAGATCAGCATTTCAAAAAGCTCCATGCTTAACAGGAAGCAGTATTTGGGATGGCCTGCTAGCAGCACCCATTTATCCTCCAGCTTATGCCTATTAACCCATTATACTCAGGAGATGTGCTATTTTACACAGAACTACTAGGTCTGTTTTCAGTCGTGTAACAGCAGAATGAAATCCCAAATCTGGAAAAGTGAAATATATCTGTCTCATTTCTTAATCCTAGTAGTGCATCCTTAAATAGAACAGTATCAGTTGTGAACTGTGAAGAAAATGATAGTCTATGATTTGCAAGAAGTCACCCCATTATCTTCCTCTACAATACTAGTGTTTAGGTCAAAGATTTATTGAAAGATTGAATTTTAGTGAAAATTTGATTACAAGTGTGAATATTGAAAATGTAAAAACATGTTCTGTGCTCTTTCTGCCCCAAGCAAACGTGAGCTCTGAGCAATTAATCTGCTCTGAAAATTGAGATTCGCTGTGCACAACATTTTGCCAAACTAATTATCAGTATTTACAATACAGAGCAAATGAGTGTGGCTGATGGAGATGTGGCAGTGCCCATATGGCAGCTAAATCAGACATAGCTTTAACACTCTCTCCCATTTGTTGCCTCTTCTGAAATAATTTATGCAATTAAATGGAAGCTGAGGCAGTCACCAGAACTGTACTGATATTTGTTTTCCAGGTTGTTTGGGACCAGATAAATCACTGTACACTGAAGCTACGCCAGTCAACAGGGCTTATGGAATATTGCCTAGAAGTTATCAAAGAAAATGATCCCTCTGGGTTTTTACAGGTATTTTCCTTTCCAGTGTTGTGGGGAGAAAAATGTAATAAAGGCTTCCAAATCTAAAAATGGACTGCTTGGCTAGTTAGCCTATTCCACCTCTGACACAGGTTCACCTTAATCCCTGTTAGTAATATCTAAAAGTCCATCTAGCCTAGTGATTGTATGAATTTCCAGTGAAGCCAATCTTCAGAGAGACTGGCTGAGATGTGGAATTAGCATGACTGGCTGAGGAGGTGGCCACTTGGTACAGTACGTGCTCTGTTGGCCACTTGATGAAGTGAAATGATTCATATAGATCACATGTATGTACAGTTATGCTCCTGCTAAATTGCTGAGTTTTGGGGTGCATAATTCTGGGGAAATATGGTATGTAATAATTACTAAACAGTGTTTATTGTATACTACACATATATACATACTTTCTACTGCTGTGTAGTATACAATATTTCCACGCTGAGAATGTGTGTGGTCTGAAGCAATAGGTGGTTCAAAGGCAACATCGGAAGGAGAATAAAATGCCACAATGCTTATGAACTTAATGATCTGTAAAGAACCAATTTAAAAAATGCAACCGTCAAGTAAACCAATGTTGAGAAGATTCTATGGATTATATATTTTGTAGTCACATAACATGCAATTCATGCCAAATTGAGAAAATCTGTACATTAACTTCTAAGGTAAGAGCTCAGTTCTTTAAGCACATACATAAATTCAGAATGATCCTGGAAATTGTTTTAGATGCTAGTTTCAACATGTAGACTTGGACTTGTGAACATTTCTGTTCCAATGGATTGGTTAGAGGTAACCGCATAAAACGTGTTGTTGGTGTGCCAAGAAAAAAGAAAAGCTCTACCCAGGTAATTAGGGATTTGCAAAACAAACAGCTTTGAAAACCACTGAATTAAGCATCCATTGAACTTCAAGCCCTATTTTATTCTCTGATAAACTTCAGTAGAACTGAAACACATGTTTACGTGAATAAGGACATTTTCTTGATTTGAGCCCAAAATCTTAACATGGTCATTGAATATGACCCATGTGTAACTAGTTGAATCAGTGAGAAACAGACACTTTTTTTCTGAGAGAGTTATATTTTTTTCCAGTGCTGTTCACACAGAAGACAATTTGAGCTCTTTGAGACAGACAGATACTTTGGGCAGCTCCCTTCTCTGCAGAAAACAGCTTACATGATAGCAGCACTGCCATTTCCTCATGCTCAGAATTTGTAGAAGAAATATCTCATTTAGGCAAGACAACAAGTGAAGCTGTACAAAAGGAAACAAAGACATGTTTTTAAACATTAAAATGGCAAGGGATGTCTGTGGTAATCTGCCTAAAGAGATAGAAGCAGCTGGCAGAGATAGGGAAGATCTAACCCAGCAAGGCAGTAGTGCCTTGGTCTTCTGCAGAATCTGCAAGAGCTCCAAGTATATAATGTACACCAATTTAGCTCACATAGCTGGTTGTAACTTTTGGGAGATAGATCCCACCATCTATTGTGGAAGTCTTTCTTCTTGCCAGCCCTTAGTTCTGATCCAAAATGTTATTTTCTTCCTATCTCAAAACCTGACACAGGGCCTAATTCCACTTCTAATTTATTTGAGAATATCTGTGACTGAAAAGAGTAGCACTTCTCTTCTTTGCTTCAACATGAGAAAGATTCTTCCAGCATCTCCTGTATGAGGAAATATAGCCTTAGGACCTTGGGTGTAGCTTTGTTTCATGGAAGTAGTTGCCCCTTATAGGGCTACCAGGCAGTTTTTGGAGCAGAAGTTTCCAAATTGCAGGATATTGTTACTTATGTGCAAACTTTTCCTTTGTGTACAATTTCAATTGCATTATAGCAGCCTACTCATTGGTGCAGTGTACTAAAGTCCAAAGAGTTTTTAAATGTGTGCCCAGTGGAGTCTCTCAGTAAAAAATGAGCAAGATTTTAGGGCTAGGTCCCATGTAAAACTGCAGCATGATAGTTGGCAGGATCTCTTCTTTACCATTTGCCTTTCTCTGACTCGGTTCCAGTCGCTTCTGAGTCTAGGTTCCAGACAGAAAGCTGTAAGAAACTTTCATGGCTACCATTACGAAAATGGGGGAGGAGGTGGGGCAAGCAATTAAGTGGTCAACTGATGAGGTAAAATATAACTGTTTTACTGCCTAATTCATTTTGCTTAATTAGTTTAATTAATTCATTTAATGAATAGAATTAATTTATTTTGTCTTATTATTTTAACTGCCTTATTAATTGCCTAACAAGAAAGGCACATCAATCAAAATGATGTGTATGTGGCTGTCAGGACCTGCTGCACATCTGAATGCATGCTAAAGGGTTGTCATAATACCCCTAAAAACAGGATGAGAGTTAGTCAACTTAAACCTATTATCACTCCAGATTGACTTGTTACTGTCATATCTGGTCTCAAACAGGAGGTAGGAATGTGTGATGTATATTAATCCCAAGACTAAAAAGTATTTTAACAGCTTGCCATCTGGATGTTACAGGGCAGGTGAAACCTTACCTTACCTACATGCTAGCTAGAGATGTGTTTAGTTTTCATTTCAGCTTACTTTTCTTAAAACCTTTGTGACTTCATTCTTTCCCTTCACATTTGATATTGAAAATACTTTTGGTTTTTCTTTTCCCTGGTTTATCTAATGATGATTTCAAGGTGACCAGCAAACACTGGAGCTATCTATTACTAAGAGCAACTATTCTTGCAACGAGGGTGCTGAGATGCAGCCAAGGGATCCAGCACCCCTCTGGCTGTGCTCCTCCACTTAGAGCACAGTTTAGGGGCCTGTTCCCTGTTTGGGCCCTGTTCGGCCCCTGTTTGGACAGGGGCCCAGACAAAAGTGTATTCCAATAGGAGTAGCAAGGAAGGATATCTGAATTCCTGAAATAAAGAAAAAAAAATATCTCTGGCCTATAGAGAAGAATATTCTGCTGTGATATACAGGACACTCGTTGGGAAGGATTCCAGATACCCAAATGCTTCACTGAGCTCAAGGACAGCTGAGTTGATTGATTTCCACAGAGACAGGATTTCACTTGCAGAAGAGCCCCGTTTTAGTCTGACTTCTGGCCTGACTGTCGGAGCAGAGTGGAGGTAGAGTGGAGTGTGAAAAGTGGGACTCAATCTTGATGCGATGGTAGAAAATCGATCATGTTCTTTGGCAATCAGTTCTGACAACTTTTCTCTCTCTCACTCAGATACACCCATTCTTTACCACTGTTTTTTCTTGGTTCAAGCTTTCGTCCACTGCCTCATCTCTGCTAAATGGAGAGCGCCTCTAATGTTTAAGCCTCCCTTTATGCAACTGCTTTCTAAACAGGAGAGCAAACCCAGACTCTGCAAATCAGAGAAGAGAGTTCATAAACATATGTGGCATTCAGATACATGATATCTAACACAATCTTAAAATGCTTTATAATTACAATTTTTATTTTCCTGCTCTTAAATTGGGATTTGTTTTGAAAAGTTGTAACAAAAGGATATGAGATAAATGGAACTCACTGCAAAATTATGATATCCTCTTTCAGCTACACTATCATATTCCTAATCTCCTTTTGCTCTATCTCACAGACATTGTGTCTCTTTTAGTGTGTTGTGATGTGCTGCTGCATCTGCAGTCTTACAAGCCTGGTATTCTTTTTCAGATCTCAGATGCTTTAATCAAGCGCGTTCAAGTATCTCAGGAACAGTGGGTCAAAGGCGCCTTGGAACCAAAAGTATCTGCTGAGTTTGACCTGACTTTGGATAGTGAACCTTTACTGCAGGCGATTCACCAGCTGGATTTTATTCAGATGAAATGTAGGGGTGAGCTTCTGTGATTCTTTTTTTTTTTTTTTTTCCTGTTTTTCATGAGTTGTTTGAAACAGCGCAGGGAAGAAGGGGGCTATAGAACCATACAAAGAGGAATGAGGAATGACTTGTAATTTCAGGATAGTTTTTCAGCAAATGCAAGTTGCATGTGGTTGCTAAAGGGATGTGCTCACCTTATTTGTAATGACCTGAACAAGCTCAGACAGTGATATCAGGTGCAGGTAAAAATTTCGAAAGACAAATTCTTCAGAGCAGGACCATCTGGCAGCTTTGAAAATGAAAAAGACATTAGTTGCCTGAAACTTTATCCCATTTTGTAGCATTCTTAGATTTGACACAGATAATTCAAAATACCAGTTACTACTGTCATGTCAGGAATAGCTGAAGTGTTAAAAAAATATTTCCACCTGTATCCAGACTGTTCTGCAAAGCCTGCCCAGGTTAAAAAGGCAACTGGGAGACAGAGAGTTAGAAGGGGAAATAATAATTTCAATAGCTGCACTCTTCCTTGATTCCTAAAGGCATCCTGACAGATAGGCCACAAGAATTGCTTCTCCTAGAGCTTCTCTTTGCTCTTTCCTTTGGTTTGACCAAGGAATGTCTGATATATGTCCCACTGGGTTGGTCAGTACTACCGGCTAGCCCATGAGGAGGACAAGCCCAGCTGTACCCACTGTGCAAAGAATGGTGGAAGAGCAGCGGTCATTTATCCTAGCCACTACTATTGCAAACCTGGTAACTCTTGCAGTTGCATAAGGGACTGCATTTTAACTCTTAGTGCTTCTGCATTCCCAAGCAGTAAAAAACACAGATTTGTCCTAAGCTAACATTTGTCAAAAATGAAGAGTTTAATATATATTATTTTTCAATCTAGGACTGCAAATCCCTTTGTATTTAAATCAGTCTGAAGCTTTGACTTTTTGTGTTTTCCTGGAATTTATGTCTGAGATGTTAACCAGCTTTGCATTGTCTTCTCGCAAGTAGTGTCTTTGCATCTGAAAATAAGGCTATTACAGAGTAAGAAAGTTTCACTAGCAGACACCCAGACGCACCAGGAACAACACTTCAGAGGCTCTGAGAAGCTGGTCTTGCAGGGCGATATTTTGCTATATGAAGCATCAGCACTTGGTATACTTCTGAGCCTCCAGTTTTGCAGAAGCATGTATGTGTCTCTTCACATCTGCTTCTCTTCCTCCAGTCCCACCAGCCCCAGTGCACCAGGGACATCAATCTTTGCCAAAGTTTGGTGAGGGAAATGTTACCAACTCAACGTACTGATTGATCTAACAACAGTAGATGCATCAGAGCTAATCTGTAAAGGGCGATTTGAGAGATCCTAAGAGAATAGGGCCAGCACGGCTCTTCCAGCTGCAGGTTGTTTCATTCGAATGCTTTGCGACATAAGGTCTGTACTATCATTATCGATGCTTACTGCATGACTGAATTTCTAATATTTTTTTCAAACTCTGGCCTCATTCAACCTCATCGAGGTTGCATGGGTCAGTTAGAGGTGAAAGCTTGCTTGCAAATAAACATTGATTCACTATGTTAGACAAAAATGAATGAAAATGAGAACAAATTGCATTGAATTTGCTTTGATAACTTGTTCATGTATCTTACTGGCGTTTTCTGTATGAGCCCCTCTCCAAAGCTGACCTCACTTAATAATGATCAGGGATTGTTTCTTCTACAGAAAAAGTTACTCAGAATCAATTTAACTGTGCAGGGAGCAGAAAGGTGGTATGTGCATAAGCGATGCTTAATCAGTCATGTAGACAGAAGTGTTTCACTGATAGCCTAGAGTCCCACACTCCCTAGACTGGCTCATCTGCTGAGAGACACCCACAGCTCCAGTATTTGTTGTCTAGTATTAGACCCTCTCCAGCCACAAATGTGTAACACAAATAATAAAAGAGTAACTGTTTCATAACGGTCTCTAGCCCAAGTTCCGACTTGTTTCCATCCTGAAGATGGGTCTTTGCCTGTGGGCATCCCTTCCCTCTTAATAACTCTGCAGTGTGCTTGTTACAGCAAGGACTCCAGATTGATGTAGCCAGTTTTGGAGAAGATCAAAGCTTCCATGCTTGTAATGGTCTTGTTCTTTCACTGCATATAGTCCTCTAAAAATTGATTTGTGTGGGAAAATGGGGAGCACAGCTTCCTTGACAGGCTGACAGACAGTAAATGAAACCTTAGCCTACTGTACCCTGAGAGGAGAGTGACTTTGAGCTGCATTCAGCGATGTCTTCTCAACCTGCTGAGTTGACATGAGACATCAGTATCACATTTTTCACAAAGGGTGACCTGCGTGAAGCACTTTTATAACAGCAGGACATTAATCAAACTCATTAATAGGTCATGCTATGCCAATGTAACATCATCCTCCCCTTATATTTTTAATCCTTTCTTTCAAATACTCTCTAGACGACACTAAGTTGTACAGGAAGTGGGACAATGCTATAATTTAACATCTAAATCTTCATTTTTGTTCTGATAGTTAGCCTATATTTTCCTTCTCTTCGTGTTGTCGCGCTACTGTTCACAATGAAGCACATCTCTGTGTCCTAGTTATTCATCTCCCCTTACACTTTCCTTTGACTTTTACAAGACTTCACCCTCCCCACTCCCAGAGGGAATCTGAGCTCAAGGTGAATCTCTGTCCTCCCTGTCCGGCTGCTCTAGGAAGGAGGCAGGATTAAAACAGGAGCGAGCGTAATCCAGCAAAGCTGGACAGCTGCTCTGTGGGTGTTTCTTACCCCTCCGTGCACTGCTGCGTGGCCGGGCAGCTCAGGTCCCAGGCTGGCCCAAAGCGAGTAGGAGGCGCCTAAGGATTACTCACACAAATGCACATGTCTACAGGGTAAAGCAGCCCAGGTCTTCCCCATAGCATCGGATGCGCAGGGCCAAGTTTTGTGTTCTCTTCAGGAAATGGGAACACACGCGTTTTAAAACATGAAAACATATTCTAATCTTGCATGACATTCCTACTTTAAGCATTAAAAGAGACTTACAAACAAGTTACCTTCACTCAAGGATTCTACTCCTTTTTGCACCTTTTTACCTTATGTGAACAAACCCTAAAAACGTCCCCTTGGTATTCCCAAGAGCGGGCGATTGGAGAGGTGGAATTTGGGCAAATTATTGAAGACATTTCAGTGTATATAACTTTTTAGAAATTTTGAGAATTAGGTCTTCATCTATTTTTTTCCAGAGGCAATCTTAGAAACAGAGAGGACCTAGTGATTGCCTCCTGAGAACCTTAGCAGCTTTAAAAAAGTGATAGGAATGTGGATGGCTGACACAGCTGTCTTCTCCAAACTTCACTGAAATTATACATACTAACAAACACAGAAAAAAAACTCCAAGTTGAACATTTCATTTAAAATTCTCATTTGCCTCTGAATTCCCCACTTTCCATTCTTTTTTACTCTTGTCACATTTCTACTACTTCTCTAGTACCTTCTAGAGAGAGAAAAGTTTGAACTTGTCGTGTGAAAAAACAAGCAGATTTTTATTTATAATACCTTCTGAATCATCCTTAAATACAAAGAAAAAGCAACAAGACTTTTCTTCTTTTCTTTTTGCGGAAAACAAAACCTTCAAGAGATTACTTACAAAGCTCTTTCCTTTCATACCACACTCTTCCTGGGCTACACAACATCTGAGTTCAATGCAGTGCTGGGTAATGCCAAGTATAATGATGGACTTCTATGCCACTTTCAATGTGGGGGTAGCGGTTTAGCCTCATGGCACAACAATAACCATTTTCCCACAGAGTACTTGTTACACAGAATGTAAACAGTCCTTTCTTTATACGAAGAAGTAGAGTAGGACCAAAAGAACAGCTCAAGGGCTTGCTCTTACACAGACACAACACAGAAAATAATCCAGAGGCTCAGAGTAGAGTAGATAAAAAAGGAGCAAATTGACATTTTTAAGAGCTAAGTCAATAAAAATGTTCAGAGCACTACTCAGCCCCTTGCAAGAGACCATGCAATTTTGCAGAAAATGTCCTGAATGATGAAATTCAGCCTTGGGCAGAAGACCAGGCTAGGGCCAGTGCATCACTTGTATCCCACTTAACCTCTGAGATTTTGTTACCAGTCTACCTAATGTAATAAGTGACCAGTCACAATCTTGCTCAGAGTACAGACTAATGGGTTAGGGCAGAGTTACACTAATCTGTACTCAGTTCCTGTTACAGTGCCACCCGTCCCATTACTGCAGCTGGAGAAGTGTTGCACCCGAAACAACAGTGTGACATTGGCTTGGAGGATGCCACCTTTGAGCCACAACCCAGTGGAGGGTTATATCTTGGAACTTGATGATGGAGATGGTGGCCAATTCCGAGTGAGAAATTCATTCAGCATTTATTTGTGTGTCTTTGTGTTGAAGTTTCCTTGGGATATGGATTTATGTTTGTCTGAAGTGGGAAAGAGGGGACAGGGAAGGTTGCCAAAGCATCTCTGCTTCTGCTGCATGGATCCAGAAAGCATGTAAATGTTTAAATGTTTTAGGAAAGGAGTACAAAAAAAAAAAGGTTTTTTTTTTAATGTTATAGTGTATTGTTGTATCCCCCTAGCTTTATCTTACTGTGTCCACTGCTGATCTTCCTTGATGCCTCCTCTGCTGTAGTTGTCCATATTTAACTCTATATTCTCTGAAGCAACAAGAAGCTTTTTATATGTGGTTTATATTTAGATGTTTGACCATGTGATCATGAGGTGATCAGAGAAACATGTAAATGGTCCTCCTCTCTCTTTCTCTTTTGTGTTGCTTAGGAAGTATATGTTGGCAAGGAGACTCTCTGTACTATTGATGGCCTTCATTTCAACAGTACCTATAATGCAAGAGTCAAAGCTTTTAATTCATCAGGAGTAGGTCCTTACAGCAAGACAGTTGTTTTACAGACGTCAGATGGTGAGGTTTCTTTTTCTTTTTTTTTTCCAATTTCTAAATGAAAAGCTGCAGGTCTCAGTGGCAGGATACTTGCACCCCATTAAATCCACTAATGTATTTGGCACCAATTAGCATAGAGAATTTGGATCCACTCAGTGGAGAGATCAGGGACTGAGTATGCACAGACTGAGCTCCCCTCCTAACATGAACCTCCAGGTCAGAGCTGGAGAAGGCAGAGCAATAAGGCAGGGCTGTGCTGCTATGTCCCTGCTGTGTGTAAACTGGAGCACAGACACTCTCAAATTACAGGCATCTTTCTGTGCACATGCTTTTCCAGTGCTGATTGACTGGATCTAACGCAAATACAGATGATCAATTCTGCCAAGAATATCTGCAGAAGCCAATACCCAAAAGCATATGCAGCTTAGGTGTATCTTGTTGGCTGTTGAAGTGCACTAGGGCTAAAGACTGAACCTACAGTAACTGGGGGGAACAATGCAGCCCAAAACTCACTGACCATAAAATTAAATTTCTTTAGGCTTTAGAAGATTTTGCATTGTCAGTAATACTTCAACTTTCAAATCATGCCATTTTATTTGGTGGTAGAGATTTGGGGGTTAATTAAAGATCCTGATTTGTTTTAGCATACAGAAGTAATTATACAACACACTGAGCATATTTGTATGCCACTCCCTGTCTCTACTTCTCTGTCATTCTTTGGCACTTGTGTTCTTCTTCACTACTGATACAATTTCACAGTAAGGCTTGATGAGACAGGGATGGGAATTTGTGCATGTTCCTGTGTAATTATACTTGACATCCATATGAGCATTACAAGAAGTTCATCTTCATTAATGATATTGTAACAAATTCAGAAGCACATGCTGGGAATAATCACTTCCGCTTTTATGCTATATTGCCAAAAGAGGCCAGTATAAAATATGTATACTTTAAGAGCTTTTTCTCATTTTTATTTTTGTCCTTTGATAATCACAGAATCACAGAATCCCAGAATGGTTGAGGTTGGAAGGGACTTCTAGAGATCATCTGGTCCAACTCCCCTGCTCAAGCAGGGACACCTAGAGCATAAGCTAGTGAAATCAGTCCTAACCAACATGGACTGAAAATCCATTTCCATTAAAGGCAGTCCTGAACTGATTTATTTATGTGAGCTGTTGCTATACTATGTAGAAGCCTTGGTCTCCTCAATGACTATCGTTACTGTGAGAGAAGAAAGTCTCTGCCCTTAGAAGCTCACGTTGTAAGAGACAAGAACAGATAATGTAAGGCACATGAGTAATTTACACTTCCACAACATCTTTATGCTAAATGAACTGAAAAACAACTTCCAAGTTTTATGGGCCACGCAGATTGTATGAACCCTTCCTTTCTTTACCTCTTACTAACCAACAATCACTTCTGAGCTGAGAAGCAGCTGGGAAGCAGTGCAAAGCAACCTTGTGTAATGTCTATGGTAACAGAGAGAGACTGTTACTTGAAGGTGCAGTAAAGTCCTACCTGAAGGTGCTTTAGGAAGGCAGAATCTTATTCTCCTAATTGCAGCAAGGTGACACTTCACCGCAGCCCATTCTGCTGTAACACTGCCTTTCTTTCTCTTCCCTGCACAGTGGCGTGGTTCAGCTTTGACCCCTCCTCAGCCCACAGAGACATAGTGCTGTCCAATGACAACCAGACGGCCACCTGCAGTAGTTACGATGATCGGGTGGTTCTCGGCACGGCGGCCTTCTCCAAGGGAGTGCATTACTGGGAACTGCATGTGGACCGGTATGATAACCACCCGGATCCAGCCTTCGGCATTGCCAGGATTAATGTAGTCAAGGACATGATGCTAGGCAAGGACGACAAAGCATGGGCCATGTACGTTGACAACAACCGCAGCTGGTTCATGCACTGCAATTCTCACACCAATCGGTAAGCTCTGCCTACACGCTTCGCTCTTACTGACTGTTTTTTCCTGCTTGCAGTTGAGGAAGGAATCTCAGCAAGCCCATCTCCCTGCTAATTATACCAATTTTATTAATGACAGCAGTCTGTTCCACCTGTTCTTAAAAATCACCAGTGACAGCAACATCATAATCTTCCAGAGCATTCTGTGTTGGTATTTCTTATTCTCACTTATTCTCATTAGCAAGTTTCCCCTGAGATCTAGCCTAGATCACCCCTTCTGTGATTTAAACAAGTTCCTGTGTGTCTCATCCAGTGTGACAAAAGCACAACACAATCTGAAATGCTGGACTTCTCTTCCATTGTTGGAGAAGTGCAAGCAGAAAGGTAATTGATTCTCCTCCCCAGGAGGATTTTTGGCTGCAGGGTTGCATAATAATTAGGCAAGCACACTGGTGATTTCCTGTCTTAACGTAGGTTTTTGTTGCCAGTCCTGAAAGCTGATTGATCAAATGTAATGCAGTAGGTTACATGTAGCATGATTTGGACACAAGGGAATGTTTCCTGGTGAGGACTAAGTGACAGCTTCCATCTGACTGAGCCATGCTATTGAAGAGCTTTGAAAAGTGTCTCAGCAAGTACAGCCAACTTGTAGAAGAAGGATTTGAGAAGGCCTGAATGCCCTTTAGCCATCATTACCCAACCCATTTTTCATGATGAGTGGATCTCTGTGCTCTGTGCAACAGAACAGTGTTATAGATGGGGCTAAACCAGTAGCTCCAGGGCTGGGTCACAGAGAGATGATACCTGTTAGAGTGAATGTTGTGCTGACATTGTTGCATGGCTTTCAGTGCTTGCAATAGTTAAATCAGCTAACTCTGCCTGGCGCTGGCTTTTCTTTGACATGATGCTGTCCTGTGTAGGGAACTTGCTTGGAGCCCTCTTGGGTATCATCGCTCAGAGCTGCAACGTTCTCTATCAGTTTTCCATAAGAGGGTCAGGCCCCAGCTGAAGATCAACCGACTACTGAGGGAACCAAGAAAGGATCTCGGCCAAGGAGTGTGATTTAGAATGCTAAGTCTCTGGTGTATTTTGGAAAATGATCTAAGTATTTGAATGCCTGTTCTATCATGATGGGAAAATGATGTAAAAAAAAAGTATAGGCTCTTCAATTATGAGTTACTAAAAAAAAAAAAGGAGGTTCCAAGAGCAGCAGGTGACATCTGCCAGACTTCCACTGCTCCAGTTCATAGCTCAATTTTATGGAAGAACTTCATAGCTGGATCCAAAGCTTTCTGAAGTCAACAGAAATATTTTCACTGACTCCAAAGGCCTTAGATCATGTCCTAAATTAAAACAGAATAAAATAACTTCAGCATGATAATCTCTGGAAAGGTTCTCTGTCCCTTTAATATCTTGATTAGATTTAGAGCGGAAGTAATGCTAAGCTGTATTAATTTTAATGCTCTGTGAAACAGCTTATGTTTTCTGGAAAAATGCTGGCAAACCTTCTGTGTGCTACTGTCCCAGAAACCTATTTTGTGGATTTGGTGCTAGGCATAGTCTTTCAGGCAAGCAGCACAACAGCTAAGCAAAACTGGGAAACAAACAATGGAAACACTTCGGATTTCCAATCATTCTGGCTAAACAGGAGGACAAAGTTATTTCTGTTGATGGTTTCCCATTTTTTGCTAGATCAAACACAGAACTTTTACAGGCACGTGCAAGGAACGGCTGGACTAGTGGAATGTTCTTTCAAGGGAAGTACACGCTTACGAAGGGCACGGATTCTCATGGAATCACATGCGCTTCAATGAATTTAGGTCTAGGCGTTATATTTTTAACCATGACAATCAAGTAGGTCAATCTGTTAACTCATTAGATGTAGTAGCCTTGTGGAAACATTTGCCACTGCCTGATTGTTGTTCCACATGGGAGATAGGCACATAACCGAGCAGCATCACTGCCCGAAGAAGATGCATTGAGCTGTTAGAGTCTCAGATGTTACTGTGATGGAGGCCCTGTCTCAGTAGCCTTGGTAGCCTCGTAGCAGCCTTAGTAGGCTTGCATCCTTCTGAATCTTTATGAGAATAAACCAGGGCGATGGATCTGTTCCTTGGAAATGTTCCCCAAAGCAGGAATACCTTGTAGTATAGGTGATATTTTAGCCACAATGTTGTTATGTAGGGAGAGGAAAAACATTAAAATGTTTTATACTAAAGTAGAGTGATAAGCACTCTCTTGGGAGAAGTCAAAATCTAGAGATTTTGGAGTGTCATCTAAAAGTCCACTGTAATCAGGAGAGGTCTCTCCACTCACTGACTACAAAGGTCTTCAGGGCAGGCATTGATAAACAAAAATATGACATTGGATACTATTAACATGTGTAATTAAGCCAATTCTTTGTTTTATTAAACAGTACTCATAAATTGTTAAGATTGATTTTTCAATAGGAGCAAAACTTATTGGTGTTCTCTACTCACAAAGCCAATGCATTCCTTCCTCTTTTGCAAATTTTCCGAATTGCTGCTGAAAATGTGCTTAAAATAAGAGACTCTGCTGCAACAGACAGCAGCATTTTTACAGGAGCCAAATTTCTTCATCTTTACTCAGGCCTTCCAGACTTATTTGCAACACTTGCGCACAGGCAGCACCCAGTACTTAGTATTACACAGAGAAATAAATTAATATTTGCAGGACTGCTTGAAAAGAGGTATGAGAACTGAGGTTTATTTGAAATGATGAGAGAGTAGTGCATATCTTCAAAAGCTGATTATCATTTAATAAATGCAAAGCATTTCCTGAAGAAATATTGTAACAAAAGCTTGTATTTTCCTTTTGGTAGCCTGCAGATTATGAGCCTATGGTATAGCTGTTGTAAGCAGTTTACAAATGCATTACAGTAAAGCAGCAGTTCTTTCATAATACCATAGGCTCAGCTGTTGTAAGCAGTTTACAAATGTATTACAGTAAAGCAGCAGTTCTTTCATATGCTGCCATGGAAGTGCATCATGAGAGAGCATTATTTTGAGCCTCTTCATCTAGCTATTTTTTGTTGTTGCAACTAAGACTAAACTAAAAAAAAGAAAAAAGAAATCTCGTAGTGATGTCCAAGTGATGTATAGAAGAGTCAGGAAATGCCTTGTGTAAAGTTTCCTTGTGGAGCTTTCACTTTCCCATCTTTCGTCCTTAAGGAAGTGATGTGAGAGCAGTCCCCAAAGCAGTGGATTCCTCCAAGGGAACCATGGTGGGGCTCCGAAGAGCCGCTGCTCAGCCTCCGGAAAGGTCCAGCCTCCTGGAAAGGCATCACCCACCCACTTTGCCTTGGCCCTGCCAGAGCGTGTCGCTGGCTGTGGCGAGGTGCAGCTGGAGGAACGGGGCAGCCGGCCTGCTCACGTCCTGCAAGAGCCGCGGCCGGGAAGCGGAGCAGGCCCCGTCCTGGAGCCTCCAGATGCCGGGGAGAGCCGGGCTGGCTCCCGCGGCGCAGCCGGCTCGCTCTGCAAGCGGAGCCATCCAGCCTCCTCCCCCCGCTGCCCCACGGGCTGTGGAGGACAGTCATTCAATGCCAGCATTTGGGACAGGCAGCTAATTAGCCCCCAAGAAGCAAATTAGTTTACTATATAGGAAAGAGCATAATAACCTCAAAAAGGCAAAGTTGCCATTTCTGTTGCCTGAGAGAATCAATGTCATTTAAAAAGATGTCATAAAATCTATTTAAAACCCTGCAGGATATAAAGCGTGGGACACCACAATCAAGGTTGTTCTTAACGGGACAAAAATAACCGTTGTAAGTGGGTCTAGATCATAACACTGCCATTCTCACAATATCATCATGAGTTTTATGATATTAGTGAGTGTTTTTAATAAAACTAATCTAAAACAGACACTGAGGATAAGTAAGTATCTTAACCTTTTTGCAAAACCATATGCTTTATGGATGTGGAGAAAAGTTCAAAGGCAAACCTATTGATACTTAAGGTACTAGAAAGCAAATAAAGAACTTCAGAACTGCATAGTTTTTAAATCTAACACATCTGAAGGCAAAATGCATGATTCTCAACCATACTGTTATTCTCTGAAGAGCTTGAAATAGAGAAGTCAAAATACTGTTTTGCTCACTGGCATAGATAAAAAACTCTATTTAATTTTGGAGGAAATAGGATGTGGCACATAAATTAGTCAAAAGGCAAACAGTTTCTGCCACCTAGTGGATAAGATAAAAAAATCCTTACTCTGCACTCTATTCCTAGAAGGATTTTGATTTTTCCCCCTTTTTAAAATGTCTTGATCTATTCCTACCGACTCTGATGGGTTACGAGAAGAATGCATTTATCTTATGAACTGTGTTTGCCTGAGGGAAAGGCACGGAACAAAAAACAGGTTGCTTCTTCCCCTTCTGAGTTGATTTTTTTCAATCTGATTTACCCTGAAGAAATTATGTCAGGCTGTAATTCTGCTGCAGACCTCCCATGATATCTGCAAAGTGCCAGAGCTTCTGGTAGAAGCTGCCCATCTAGTAGATTTCTTGCTCACTGCTTTCTAAAGTAGTCCTGGGTTTCTCTAACCCCCAATGGGAAGTGCATTAATGTCAAATTATTAATGCCTGCAGTAGCTGACTGAGGGTATCATGCTCTGATACAGTGACAGCTCCAGCAGCTGCTCCTGACACAACCAGTTATGACTAATAGTAATAACAGCACCCCAACACTTGAAACAGCTGCTAGTCCAACAGCTGGACACCTTGTCAGTCATGAAGCTACACTTACCCATAATCAGTCCCACTTTCCCTTCCTCCTCAGAAACAGTATCTGTTACATCTGTTCTGGCTTTGTGGCCTCTGAAAATTTAGGTCTTTTTAGAGAATTCCAATGTGAGCACGTCAAACTGGAAGTGTGAGTCTAGAGCTTTTAGCAGAAGTAATAATTAGGAATGAATGCCCAGAAAAACAAGTTTCCTGGTTGTTCGTTTTCTGCAGTGCCTCACTCCACTCCTGCAGGGAGGGTCTGAGGAGCAGTTTCTCCTGATGCCTGTCCTGCTCCCTTACCGCTGCAGTGCTCTGTATGCTGCCCCTCTAGGAAAATGAGCCTTGCAGCTTGGGACACCCTTTTCGGTCCTTAGCTCGCACTTGGAGATGAGACGGGCTTAGTTTCTCTTAGGAGCCCCGCAGTTAAGCTCTGATGAATGTGGTACCTGTGCTTCAGGAGAAGGTGCGCCTTGGCCACTCTCAAGTCCTGCGGCAATGATCTTTTCACTGGGCTGCTCCATTTTTTCTTCACTTCAGTAAGGCTGCTTTGCCATGGGGAGAGCAGCTGCAGCGTGCGGCGTGCCCTCTGCCTCCACTAACCCAGCACCCCACTAAACCAGCGCTCCTTCTGTTTCCTAGGACCGAAGGGGGAGTTTCTAAAGGTGCCACTGTTGGTGTGCTCTTGGACCTGAACAAGCACAACCTGACCTTTTACATCAATGGGCAGCAGCAAGGGCCTCCAGCATTTGAAAATGTCGAGGGTGTTTTCATGCCTGCATTAAGCCTCAACCGAAATGTCCAGGTAAGTCTCCTGCAGCTCAGTCTGTCTTCTCCTGCTCATCTAAGGGAGAATGTATGCTCATCACTGCTGCTGTGACCGGTAATATCATTTGTTGGCAATTAATGTGCATATGGGTTCTTCCCAAATTCACATCTGGGCTACTACTGCTTTTTTGAAAATTTTATTTAACATTCTGTCTTGCCTCCAAGATGTGAGAAATCGTGTTGTAAAAACAAGGGAAAGTACCTACACACACGCTAATTCCTACACTTATGTTGCTGCAATGGTGCACTTAGAAAGAAGCAAAGTGATAAGACTTCCTCTGCCAGATTGACTGAAAAGCAGGAGTATCCTAAATACTCTGAGATCTCATGTTTGGTGATGATTAACATGAGAAAGAGAGAAACATCAGCAGCATAGTAGTAAGCAGAGCAAAGACAGCAGAAGTCTGAGAATTAGTCCTGCAAGAAAAAAACAAACAACATCATTCTTGTTGTTCATGAATTTTGGAGATTTCTCCCTGTTCTCAAGAGGATCTCCCCTTGGAGGAGCCCTCTTTAAATATAATGTGTTTTTATTTCAAGATCACTGCTGATGGCTAGAAACAGGATTTAGTGTAAGGGCGAACTGGAACTAGGAACTGTACCTACAGAGACATCCAGGAGCATAAGGACTGAAGGAGGCCCACTTAAGTCAAGCAGGATCAAAGCAGCCAGGAGTGGAAGAATTAGATAGGATTAAAAACACCTGGACTGAAATCAGCACTGTCACATGGCCTTGTCATTACATGAACATTTAATATCAGTTCCTAGTGGCATCCAAATGCTTCAAGAAGCTTTCATGGCATTGTTGATGCACCAATGTGAGAGACACAGATACTTCTCAGGGCACCTCATTACATATTTCCACACAGATTTTTCACTCACAACTCACCTCTTATTTTAATTATCTGTATTTTTTAAATATCTCTAAGTACATGGCTTAAACTGTTTTATGCAGACAAGGGTGAGACGGCAGACAAGGGGGACAGGGAAACTCCTATTTTAAGCATATGTTTGCTCTTAAATGGTGATGTGGAACCATGGCCTCGTGGAGGCATGAGGTTATAGCAGAAGCACTAAAATGCTCCCTTTTCTGTCCTGCCAGGACATCAGAGACAACAGGATTTTCTTGTATTTAATACAGGAGTTTCACTGTGTGATCTCTTTCTGGAATTACTCAGAATCCCTCCTATAAAGATGCCACCCACTTCGTGGCTAGTGAACAGCACTGCTGGAGACATACAGTTGGTGACTAGATTTGGGAAGAGATGAAAATGGTATCCAGATGAAGATGGTTTCTAGACCATGGGCTATTGAAGAGAGAGGGAAGAAGGGATACGTGTTAGTTCAGGGGTTCAGTGTCATCTCCATAAATGTCCTTGATGTCTTTAGCCTTGATCCAAAGAGCCACAGCCCTTCCCCTGGCATTTACTTGCTCTTAGCCTTCACATATGCTTTCTGCTGGGCCTGTCCCAGTTCTCATTTTAATTTCTAAATGTTACTTCTTCTTTGTGCAGGTGACTCTACATACAGGACTGGAGGTGCCACAAAGTATAAAACAGCCAAAGTTGCCCAGCAACTAGTGAAGCCCTTGGTGCCTCAACACAAGCTGGATTCTGTAAGCTCTCTCAGTGTGATTTGGCACTTCTCAGTAAGTCAGTATAAAAGCATTCTCTGCCCTAACTTAAGATATTATGCAGCGTGCTTTTCACCAACTAAACTGCTGGTTACAGCTAACCCACACGATTTTTAACTTAACAGCCATACCAAGCATTCTCCCAGAAGTGGCACTTGCTTGCAAATGGGTACCTGAACATATCTACACAGCATTGCGTACATGGGTGTATATATGTGTGTATGTATATATATATATTTTTATATATATATATAAAAGGTGAAAGGTAAAAATAAGTGTATTTTCTCTATCATGGCTGGATTTATGCTCAAAAAAAATACTAGGACTGCAGGAAAAATATGTAAGAGTAAGACTAGGGAGCAAACAGCTGTTTAAATGATTTACCAGGGGATAAACTGGATTCTTTTTGTCCCCTGAAGTCCTTAAATCAAGACAGCACATGTTTTGACAGCTGAAGTGGAAGCTGCAAGGTCAGTGGAAGAATTTCTGGTCAAGATTCCTTTGCCCATTATATCCAAGAGCTCAAATGACCATATTTATCCCTTTTTGCTCTAAACTATATTAGTCTATGGATTATATTTCCCTAGATTTAAGTGTAGTGTCAAAGCTTGCACTTATCTTCAAAAAGAAAAAGAATGCTTTCCAAATGCTTTCATAGTTTTGCTTATTTTAGATATCACCGTAATATTTACAGAATTCACATACAAGAAATAGAAAAATATTCTCAGTGTATTTTAGTGTTTCTTATTTAAGTATGATTGTGGATACTGTCACAAACAGAAGATCTAATTGTGGTCATCAGCACATCTTTTCAAAAGAGTGCAGGGAAGAAGCCTTTGAATTGAACTGATAAGACATTTATTTAAATATTGTACTTGCAAGTATTCTATGCTGCTTCCTAGCCTTGATCCTGATAGATCCCAGGCAGCTGTATTTCCAATGCAGTTTTGAGATCAAAAGCCTTAATTTTCTATTAGACTAGGGTGAGCTAAATAGTATCTGATGCTAATGAAGCATTTGAGCAAGAGAGGCTCATAGACTTAATGATAAATTATTTAATGTTACAAATAACTTAATGCTAGAATTTTTCTGCACTGGGACATAAACCTTTTGTGAGTTTTGGCTGTCTTGCATCTCCCGTGAAAACCAGAAGCCATCTCAGGTGCTGTCCCTGACAACTTGAGTCTGATTGGCATGGAACACCCCATAACCATGGTCCTTTCACCTGCATGCTGTTCCCGGAAAATACACTGATTTGTTCATGTGTGTCTTTTCCTATGACCAAATTAAGACACAAGGGTATGTGCACAGCAGTCGTGTATGAACAAGCTGCAGCAGGCAGCCTGAGCCCGCACCACCCAGGACTTAGCCATTCTACTTAAGCGTGGTGCTGCGAAGCAGGAAAAACAGACTCTGACATGTTATTGATGTACTGTTTCCTTTTACTAAACCTGCTGCTTGCATACGTTCTGCTCTCCAAGCATATGTATACACGTACACACCCCTGCTACCAGATGTGTAATTATTAATCCTGAAAGCAAATATTCTAAGCAAAATCCAGTTTACTGCCTTGCTTAAACCTTTGCCACAGGACAAACAGCCCGGGGCTCTCCTGGGACAGCCTGCTGGCCATCAAGCATATTGCTGCATATTGCTTTTGTCCCAGCCTGAGCGCATCCCTCGGTAGTGCTGAGTGATGGCAAGGCTTCACTGTGACAGAGCAACCTGGATCCTCACTGCTGTCACGCCACCTCTCAGCCCTGTGGAGAGGGGGAATAAAGAAAGAAGGCAACCCAGAATGGGATAGGCACAGGCTGTTTAGCAATCAAAAAATAGTCTGTGAGTAACCAACTAATCATCTTATAGCCAGCCCACTTCTCCTACAGAGCAGCAATGCACCTTCAGGGATGTCAAGACTGGCATAGGAAAGAAAATCAACAGCAAGAGAAAATGAATTTAAATGCTTAAGTGGGAAAGCAACTGCACTTTCTTCCAAGTCTTAAATGGATTGTACTAGTAAGCTTTTAGACATTGGAATAACTGTGCTACATTCGTCTTGATTTCTTAACAGCAGAGACCAACTTTTAATTTCTGGCTTTGTTTAATGCCATATGAACTCGTGCAGGATTTTCTAATTCAGTGGGTCTGCTTTAACCTACCTCAGCTAAAATGCTACTGGACCCTGAATTTCCTCCCGAGTGTGCTTGTTGTAAAACTGTCTTTTACAAACATGAAAGTTGTAGTCATAGCATTGGCTTTGAGAACTGCCTGTCAGAGCAGTATATGGCTATACTGTACATAAATTGCATATAGTTTTTTATATTAGAAACTTCCTTTGATCATTTTAATACCAGAAGGCGCTCCACTTTCACTTTTAGTATTAAAAGCAAAAGAATACCATCTTGAGTAAAAGGACTGAACCTTTGTCTATCCTCCCAGCTTCTGTGAAGAACATTCAAACGAACTTCAGTCTTTCCAATCTTCAGCCATTGCCAGATGTTAAAATTAATCCTGAAAGGGTTGTAGAAGTGTTTTAGAAGTGTTTGTGGTACTTGGTTTTGGTTTTCATAGTTGCTTTGGTACCAGTTCCTAGAGTGTGGTTCCCTTGGGAAAATGCAGCAATGCAGGTTACTAAGCTCTAATGAAAGTAAGGACGGTGGGTAGGAACACGCTTCGGATGTGTAGAGAAGCTCGCCAAAGCTCATTTTTTATTCTCTACATATCCCAGCATTGATAAGATGTCTCCTTTCAACACAGTGCAAAATCAAATCAAATCAAAGGAAGACAGCTAGATGAAAGCATCCTGTATTAGCAATATTTACATAGCCTAGGTCTAAACAAAGTCGGTATGTTGGTTGTGTACACGTTTAAGGGCTTGGATTCAGTCCACAGTGATAAACCAAGTTACCCCGACAGAGCACAGTCTCACGACTTCAGATGGGTGCATTTTGGCAGTCTCATTAACAGTAATAAATGCTTAGTGCAGTTAGAACTATGTTAGGAGGCTTATTATTCCCCACACAGCTATTTATGTAGAGCATCCACATGTCAGTGGGAGCCCCCTGAACATAGACCAGCAGAGATTTTTCCCTTTTCAGAATTGCATCGGGTGGGAGAAGTGGGGAGTATCCACCTCTCTGCTCCAGCTGGAGGTAGTTTGTTTCTCTTCAGGTAACTCCCCAAGGTCTTTCTAGTTATGAACCGCCCAGTCTCCTTGTTCTTCACCTCAGTGTCCATGTGGAGACACTGTCCGCACTGTGCCAAGTGACACGCTCCTCTGCTTCTCTCCTCTATTTCTTCCCAGGTCTTCTTTAGGGCTCCAACTCTGCAATGGCTTGAGGAAAGAGGAGGGAAAGAAACCCACATCACTTTCTACAGCTTCTCTTGTGCTAGTTTTTGTTATCTCCAAAATCCTTCTGTAGGAGGGAGGGAGACAGCTTTCAGTATGGTCCTTGCAGCAACCGTGTTGCTGACTCTCCAGGAAGAACCCAGGGGCTTAGATACTGTAGATAGATAGCGTAGATACCAAATGGGACAACTTTGGGTGTCTCTTACTTCCTCTTGATTCCTTGGGAGATTTGTGCCATACTCTCTGACTTCAAGCACCCCGTCCTGCTTCCCAAACACCAGGACATCTGCAGAGGTGCATTTTGTGGGACTGCTCTGCTCCCAGAGGACAGGTTGTTCCATGTAAGCAGGAGAGCAGAGCCATTTGCACCAGGATGAATCTTGTCCACTACAACCCAGACTCCATGGGATAGAGTTGGGTGAATTGACTTAATGCTTAAGAACAACAAACCCTTCCCCAATAAACAGATTCCAGTCTGAGTCCCCGATAAGTCAATTTGAAATGTCCCTAGAGTTGCTAAATACAGTTGGTAAACTTTCTGTCCTGGGGAGCAATAAGGGACTTAGCTTTCGTCTACTCTTGTATTCAAACAATATCCTTTATGAACCTTCTTCTTGGCTCCTTCCTCTGCAAACTTCCCTGTTACCTTTAGTGAGATCAGTTAGAAAAATTGTGCCATCTGGCACCCCGTCAGCCCTCCCACGGAAGGTACTGCTATTCTGCTTCAATTACATTTTCCCCCTGTCATTAGTTCAAAAGAGTTGACAGGGCAGGCAAGGGAATACTAAAATTTATCGTCAGTATGAGCACAGGCCTAGCTGACAATCCCTTGTTATATTTCTGATGTTGAAAGGTATATGCTATAAAAGGAATGTCAGTGAGGACAGCAGGATACTGTGATGCATCTTGAATTTGGAAAGCGATTTGGCTTGTAAAAGAAAAGACAGGCAAACAGCACAAACACCTCCCTTGCCTATAGAGTTAAGATATATAGAGCAAAATATATTGGACTGCACAAAATAAAAAGCATGAGCTTACATATATCAGAGTTTAAGAGGAAAGGTATTAATGTAACTTATTATATGCATAACATTCCATTGTGTTGTAAATAATGTCATTGTAGTGTACTGCTGTAAATGGTTCTTGGCTGGTGATATCTGTCATAGTGCTGTATAAGGTTTCATTTTTTATTTATTTGTTTTCAAAGTGTAGTAAGGATGACAGAGAACACCTAATACTCTAATTTTCTAGTTCTAAAGCAAGAAGAAATGTGATACACTGATTTTTCTTACGTAATAATATTTAATAAACAAGGTTATAGGGAGAGAGAGATCAAGCTGCCACTAACACTATATGGGAAACACTGTGTTTATGATAACCAACAAGAGGTGGTGCATTTTGGACCACAACTCATATTACCTATTCCTGTGAGGAGGGATAAGGAGTAAAAAGCCTGTGAACAGCAGCACATTCTGGTGCCTTCTAGTACATCCTTTGCTCAAACAGAAAGATGAGCAAACAGAGTTGCTAGACCTAACCTCAGGCCTTACCAGCTTTCCAGCATTTTTTGCTTAAATAGCAAAGCAAATGATTAACTTTTGAGCCAAGCCAAGCAATATTAAAAACCCAAACATCCTGGCTAGACCAGCTTTGAAAGGGAGATTACAATTCCAAGTCCTTCAACAGGCTATGGTAACAAATCAAACACATTGCAAACATAAAGGGCACTCATCACTTAAAATTACCAAACAAAGATGGAGAGTCTTTTCTTTCTTTTTCTGCTGTGAACTGAGTGAGCTGCTTCTTGTTTTTATTGACAACATTTCCATCAGTTCCTCTGTCCGATACCACCGATTGCTGCACACACAAATGACTGGAGCGGCAGCCTGAAGCACAAGTCCATTCCGAGTAACACACACTCGGTCTTCCTTTGTGCAGAAGCCAGGCAAGCCACAAAAGAACAAATAAATGTGCAGGACATCTGCATGCTTGCACAGCACAGAAGGCAGATGCATGGTTTACTGAAATGGGTACCCAGCAGCATTTTCCCTTTCTGTTAAATGATGTTATGTTATGTATTTGTTATTGCAGGCAAATCCAAGGATCTGGGTTGGAAGATTTCTAACATTTTCTTGCAGAGTAACATACATACATATATATGCATATATGTATGTCTGTATGTATCTACCGACATTCACCTTTATAGATGCAGAGTGCATTCTTTCATCATGGTGGCTGTCACTACCACTGTGTTAAATGTTGTCAATAAAAATAGCAAGCTTTCTAAGTAGTTGAATGAAAGCATGGTGAGAACTCATTTTGTAATGAATATTAGAATAAATGCATGAGGTAGAACTGCTCTTAGTTTCTGATTGTTGAAGCATGAATAACACTAACTTAAATGTTGGCAACCAAAAAAACGTGCAAAGGAATAAGATAATGGTGTTCACTCCTTGTTAAATGAAAGACAAGAGCTTGTTTCTGTGTTTTCTTCTTACCATGACATTTGTTCTTTACCATCATTTCCCATAGCTTATATAAATTTGGAGCTGGTGAAATATACATCTCTTCTGTATGTGTCTGTCACCAGATCAAGTGGAGAATATCAACTTTTTATAATTTTGTACCCGTGGCAAAAGTTTGTATTTTTTGAATTGAAAACAAAATGCTTTTTGTCTTTTGGTCAGAGTAAAACTTTGTGTATTATTATTACCCTTTTGGAAAACCTGACATATGAGTTTATGCTGTTTTACAGTTTCTAAATAAATTATTAATACATTGCCAACAAATTTAGCATCAGTACTCTATTTATTGCTACTATTTCATAATGCATATGAGGCAGTCATGCAGGATGCATACATCCAAGTGCTGATATGTGCTTTGTTACCACTGTCCAAATAATCTGCTAGCTGGAGAACACTAAGATGTCTTCCCAGGAGAAACCATCAATTTCTGGGCTTAACGGGTACCCTGGATTCAGTGGCATGAAACCTCTCTCTCCCTCCCCAGCACTCCATTATTTCTGGCCTGTGTTGGTTATAGAGTATACTGGGATATGTTATTTCTCTCCACCTTGTCTTACAGGCTTCGGGCCTGTGGAAGTTTCCGGAAGTTTCTGACATTACTTTCCAGCTCTGCTTACTCCAGCGGTGTCACCTGGAGGATCTGACTGCAGAGGCCTTCGGGTCAGCGTACAAGTCAGATGGCGGAGGCAGAAGGCTTGTCTGGGCAGGAGGGCAAAACTTTGCGAGACAGTTAAACTACCCATCGTATTGGAGCTGCACACCTGCCTCGAGCAGGTCCCTTGAGGGGACTGAGCAACGCCACAGAGACAGCACACTCAGCCCCCGGAAAAAAGCTCACTTAAGCCAGGCAACCTTGACAAATCTCTGTTAATGAGATAATGACAATAGCTTTAGCTTACGGGGAAACAAGAGCCAAGCTTATTGTTACAGTATAAAAAGCCTGATAGAGAACAGATGGGAAGAAAACAAAGATTTATTTTCTCCCTCATTCCCCTATCCTGCTGCTGAGAGAAGACAAAAGTAAGTTGGTCTGCACTGTCCTTTGCTGATAATTACTTACCTATCCAGTCAGAACTGGCCTTCACATGCACCAAAAGTGACATAGCTTGCTGGCTGAACATACCCTGTTAATTAATAACATATTTCAGTTCAGAGAAGCATTAGGTGCGTAGAAGGTTCTCAGCAGTTATGTTTACCAAATGACAGTGCTTATCATGGTGTTTTAATGTATCTAGTAATAAAATTTGATTAAAGCTACCATGTTTAACTGAGACCAGCATGCTAGCAGGATGTGGTGTGGCCAACTTAAATCACCATGGGAGTTTGCTCTTAAAAAGCTATGCATCAGCATAAAACAGAAAACTTTTGTAATGCATACACATACATTTTACATGGGTGATAAAAATACAAAATTCTTAGCAAGTTTGTTTTTAATCTAGGAACCTAATTTCTTGCAACCCCATTCTGTAGCAGAGCTTATAGAGCCTGAGACAGGAACTGCAATGAGGCGCTCCATTCTAACAAAGCTTAATTCCTTAAACAGCTTTTCTAAGTTCTGAAGGTAGAAAGTGAACATACGCATTTCCCAAGATGATTTGGGGACATAACTCCCACAACACACTATTCTCAAAGCCAGATGAACCAACCCTATCTAAGAGTAAGACCAGAAAAAGCGACCACAAGGATTAGTCAGCAATGAGGAGATACAGGCTAAGCTTTGGATGTTACAGTACATCCATCTGTTGCCTCAGCGACTCTGGCGCCTTGTGCTCAATCCTGCCTTATTACTGATTACACCTTTGCATGCAATAGTGATTTGACATTTCTCTAGTCTGCATACTCCCAAACCAAACAGGACTGTTAATTCTGGTTTGAATCTGCAACCAATACTGAACAAGAAGAAATCCAATTAAGCAATTATGAAATGTTGTAACAATATTTAGCAATCTGTCCCTGCACACCCATCCCCTCCCATGTGGCTACAGGAACACCCTAACCCTTCCCCTCTTCATCTGGCTGTACTTTCCCTCCCGGGCTAGCCGTCTGAGCCCTCTTCATTTGCACAGCACTTTCTGGATGGGACAGGGGGAAGGAGCATGTGAGAAAGCATCCCTCTCCGCCGTGCAGGTCTCCCCATCCCAGAACACTATCTTAAACTGAGAAAAAGCAGCCTGATGCAGCCCTGTGAGCAGGGGAGACGGATTACGCCAGCTGCAAGGTGACCCAGACCTCTCTGCTCACTTTAGTATTGCCTCACTCTGACCCCAAGACAGCAGCCAGGAATCGTGCCTCACGAGCCCTCCTGCAATTGCTGAAGTTCACTCACACACCAAAAACTATCCCTGATAAGGGTTATTTACCTTCTCAAATACATCCGTTTCAGTGCCAAAGCTGTTCAATCAAGCTCGAGATAACCTCACATGTAAGCAGCAGAGCATGAGCCTTCCTCCTGTCTCTTGATAGTTAACACTATTTTTGTCTCCCCATAAAACACTCAAGTTTCTTTTGGTTGGGGTAAAACGGCGAGGACATTTTGTAATGTTGCTAACAACTGCCATTTCTAATGGAAACGTATCATTCAATGACAACAACGAACAAAAGTCCCTCAACTCTATGGACCAGAACTACAAGAAACACCAAATTGTTGAAATAATGATAACTGTTGAAATAATAATAATTTTAAAAATAGCACAAAAGCTTTAGATTTTACAGATTTTATAGAAAAAAAAATCACACCTAGTATAGAAACACTGATCACAACAAACACGGGTTACCAATGAACTGATAACAGCAACTGGTTGTCTCTGTCTCACTTGGCTCAGGACTTGAAACAAGTCCTGTTCTCCCCACTACGACCTGGATTTTGAAATAAATAAATAAATAAATTTGAGGTCTCTGCACACATATACAAGTTGCATCTGCAACTCTTACCTGCGACAATATTTTTTTAAAAAAATCATTCCAAAGCAGATAACTTTGAAATCTTAAAAAGTTTGGAGTTTTGCTGTGTAGTCCCATGAATACTTGAGATAGTTACAGAAACAGATGCATGTCTGAGAGGTGCTTAGGAATACTTACTTTAGCTTCTGGGCAAAAATGCATTGATTTTTCACATATTCCTTCTAGATGAAATCAAAGAACCATGTATTTTTACTAACTTATTTGAAGTAATGAATTAAACCAGTGTTTTCCTCGTAGCCAATAAATGAATTCTAGAAATAGTAAAATGGTTTCTTTAGTATTTGCTAGCTACTAAAATAGCAAACAAAAGCATCTTAATTTTTATTGAAAAAAAAGAGAAAAAAATGTGAGGTAGATTCTCATTCTCACCAGAGCAGAAGAGAAGATGGGAAATTGTGAAACTAAAAGCCAAATAAAAGAGTTAGGATGTGGTGGGAAGGCAAGAATATTTGTAGATGTGTTGTGGTGGCAATATATCATGTTTTTATTGTCCATTTCATTCTGTGTTGTAAGTTCATTTGATAACTTTAGATGATTTAATTTTCTTTATGTCACTGCTATGCAGAATCAAGGTCCCATCTCTGAATTTTCCAACTTGTCCTGCAGGCCAAATGCTGGGGACCGATTTCTTCTTTTTGGCCATCCTGAAATATAAGTAGGGAGAAAGATATTAAGAGAAAGACCGGAAACTCCCCTAAACGTTCAATATGGTGAAAAAAATACAATCTATTTATGCAACCAGTATTTGATATTATGCGATACTAAGTCGTAGCAGATAATACACTTTCAGACAGAGAAAGAAGATAAGGAATGCATTTCAGTGAGCCAGCTGCACTATAATTAAGAACGTCGCTTTACCTTTCAAGCCTCTGCATATTGTAGCTTGTTTTGCCAGAATTATTTCTCACAGCAAATGCTCACCGTAAAAAAGGCAAGGGCCAGAGCCTGGGTCCGCCCACAGGGATTTCCATCCATCTCCCTGACAGCTGCGGCCTTAGACACATCAGAGGAGAACTGGCATATCCTCAATTAAGCCATGTAACCAAAAACCTCTAAAAGTGCTGGACACAGACCAAGATTGCCATTTTGCATCTAATAGCTCATCTGTAGGCGGAAAAGTTCCTCCCCCTCTGGTCTGTGTCACTTTTGGTATAAGACTGTGCATACTTACACAGGGGCAACAGAGTGGGAAGGCTTAAGCAAAAGCAAGGTAATTTTTGACATGTTGAAATGGCTCACCTCTCCTTCTTTTCTTTCTTCCTCTTCTTAAGAGGGCCTCCTTTATGTTCCTGCTTTTAAAGATAAATATTTTAATGGAAAAACCACAGAGCATCTTGGCTAAACAACCACGTGCACGCAAAGCAAGCGTAGCCTCCTCCTCAGGCTAAGCCCTGACAGCACAAGTGACATGAGCTGTTGTGGAGCTGCTGCAGGACCCCACAGCCCTTGGCCTCACCTCACGCAAGGTGCAGCCCTCTCAAGACCAGGATGCTGCCCTTGCCACGCAAGGAGCTAAATCTAATGACCTGAGGGGACAGCCCTGCATTCTGGGTTTGTGACAGGTCCTGGTGTCAAGATACTGACTTCCTCCCGGGCCAGCATGCCTCGCTCCCAGCTGAGTGTGCCGCTCAAATGAGAGGGTTCAGCTGCACCCGGGCTTGGCTTCCCGTCACGCGACAGAGGAGAAGTAGGTTCCCCTGGATGGAAAACAGGGCGGCTGGGAAGAGGCTGACAGAGGAGCTCGCTGCTCCCACCTGCATCAGAGAGCTCCTGGGGAGGATGGCAGCCAGATGAGCCTTGCCGGATGGGTGCAGCACACACCTCACCCTTGCTTTAATTAACAAGGAACATCCTAGATGGAATGGTGCTGATAGGAACCCAGCTAAACATCCGGCTCCCTCTTGTTAGATAACGTGTATCAAACATCAACAGGAAGCGTTTCTTTTTTCTTTTTCTTTTTTCTAAAAAAAAGATGCAAGAAAAAAGAAACACTGCTTATTTTGTGTGGTCAATCGATCAACTTCAAAGGATGAGGAAGTAAAACCTACCACCACAAAAGCCCAGTTCTGAACCTTTCGTACTGCACACAATCAGCTTTTACTGATGAAATTGGTCCTAGGAGGGAGCGACTCAGAGGAGCAGTAGTTGTAGAGATCGGGCTCTCCTCCTGTGCCTCGGGGCATTGCGTGTCAGGCTACTGGACTAGCTCCTACATGCAACCTTTCTTTTCATGGAGAAATTTCACACACACCTTTCCGTTACTGTCATCCTTCATTGTCCTTTTCTCTCTCATTTTCTCCTGGTAAATCTTGTAGTTCACATGTTCTCTTTTGGGGGGCTGCAAGAAAGAGCAGAAGTGGCATCACTGCTGAAATGTTCAAATAGTTTAACAAACCAACAAAACCAGAAACAAACAAAAAAATAGATAAGACCAAACAGGAAATTGGGTCAGAGCAAAAGAGAAACAGCTCAGAGAAAGGGCAGGGGGAAAGGGATCTCATCTTTTCAAAAAAAAAAAAAAAAAAAAAAAAAAAAATCCCAAACCCCACAGGCCAGCACACAACAAGGCAGCGTTACCTTGGCCCCCAGCATGATGGCCCGCTCCCGCTCCAACACGCGTTGCTCCTGCTTCTCATAGCCGGTGATCCCAAACCTGTGCACTTCCAAACGAGCCTAAAGCGGGACGGGAAGTGGGAGGCATTTTGTAATCGTCCAACAGGCATAACACAATGCTTGACAGACTGAAACAAAGCTGTACTCCCAAAGAATGCCAGGTGATACCCCAAAATCTGCCACTGCAAAATCCTGGACTGCAAACGCAGTGCGTGCAGGCGCTGAGGTGGTTTGACTACACAGCCTGCGTAGCTGACAATGCACAGGAAGACCCTAGCAGACGCAGGGATGAATTAGGACCTTTTCCAAGGTTGTGGTTAAATCTCCAACATTTTTGGCAATAGAAAACATGGCAGAGAGCCTCCAGATTTCACTGGATCACAGCACTTTCCTGGGCAGTGGCCAGGCAGATAAAATAACCTGCACAAATCTGAAACCCATCAGTACCTAGGCAGCCCAACACTAGTTATGCTTATGTAAGAAGAGTTTGGAGCAAAAAGACAAATGAAAAAAATCACATATCTCTACCCAGCTAGCACACAGTGACCCTCCTCATATTATCACAGACCAGAAAGAAAGGCCACGAGCTGTAACACGCCTCCCGCTCCATACTGCAGACTCCTCCTCCAGCATGGCCTGCAGCCAAAGCTAAGTCTTAGGAAATGCTCACCTGCAAAAGATTACCTTTCCTAGAATTGCTTTCCTAAGCCTATAAATACACCCTTCTGCACACAGGAACATTGAGGTTGGATCCAGGTGACTTACTTTTTCAAAGTTGAATTCGTGCTTGTCCTTGTTCACGTTTTTCTCTTTGGACACTTTTTGGGTCTATAAAAACCAAAACAAAATATTTCTGTTCAATATAACAAGCAAACCAAATTTAAATGCTGATTGTGACAGTTTTCCAAAAAGTGGTAAAATGATAAAATGAGCAGTAGGGTGCTGTATGCAGCTTTCCAGCAGAATATTTTCCTATATTTATGACCTTGATTTATTAAAAAAATGAAGGTCTCATGGCATTTTTAACATACAGATATTGTAGGGTCTTATTGGAACAACCCTGCACAGTATAGGGTACCATCAAGGCACATAACTTTCTTAAAAATTTTCTTCCTTAGGTCATTTGATAACACAAAGAGATTAATATTTGAGAAAGACAGAACACAGTCAAAATAATAGCTGCAATTCATTTTTGAAGCTTCAAGTTTAAATTACGCTTTCCAAAAGCAGTTCTGCATGTGAGCTATGTATCATACAGCTTTCTCTTCTAAGTCCATACCAAAACTGCTCCTGGAGGCTAGGACACGAACTTAAAGTCATTTTGTTTCACCCAGAGAACAGTGGTACTCGTGTACGCACTGCTTGCTGTGACAACACAAAGAACAACACTTAATTCATGGCTGCATGCAAATACATTAATGCCTACATCCTGGTTTATTAATGCAATATAAACAGCCCCAAAGTGCTGTTCAGCAAATGGAAAACCCAACAAAACATCTGTCACCGAGCAACAGATGTTCAAAATGGAATCAGTGAAAGCATCTTTTCTACTAAGCAATGTATATGTAGACCTTCCCCCAGCAGTTCTCAGGCTGGAGAGGAGTTTTCCAGGGGACCTTAGCCTGTAGCCTGGGGAAAGAAAATAAACAAACACCCGTCGGGAGCTCCATGTGTGCTTGCTGTAGGGAAGCGTAGTGGCTGGCAGGGCCCGTATGCACCTTCCTTTTGCTCCTCCTACGAGGCATTTGGGATGTTTTCCCTAGGGACCCTTCCACTGCCCGGGACAGGACAAGATGAGGAGGGAACCCAGAGAGCTCCTGCCTCAGATCTGCCCCTCTCGTCACCAACTCTTCCCGAGACGTTTCAGGACACACACGTCAAAGCCAACACTACCTGGCAGTCGTAACTACCACATTTTAGTGGATAAAGCCTTTGACTACCTTCCTTCCCTCGAGCTGTATTCTATGCGGGACATTTCAAAGCTGTAATACATCTCAAGGTGATTTAAGTTCATGCCTGATCCCCAAATTTGGGGAGCAGGGAGTTTGGCAAGCAGGATGCTGGAATATCTCTCTGGGTTCAACAGACCTACAGCTACACTGCAGCATCCCCCCACATTCATTAGAACCACTGGTCAGCCCCATAAAAGCCTTTTTGGAAACCTACTGCTTCAAACATGTGAAAAAGTGGTTATTTTCAGAACATTTTATAACAGGCCAATCGCCAGGCTTCTCAGGCAGGAAAAGAGAAGTTGTAAAAAGCATGAGAAAGAGATCTGTTTAAACAAAAAAAAAAAACCTGGAAAAAAATGTTAAGGAGAATCTACCAGAAAAGTATGAAAGTTTGACCGATGCAACCAACTACTTAGTGCCTCTTGAAAGCTGAAACAGCCAAACCCTGGATATCAGCAAGCCTCACTGAATCACAGACAGCCAGTTTGGCCCATCAGAGATGACTTTGGATTTGGGCTTGCGGTATCAGGGCCGTGAACTCTGCTTGAAGAAACCCCCCGCAGAGCCACGAAGGCCGAGCGCGGGTGAGGAGCAGGGAAGGCCGCTCCATGCGCCACGCGGTTCGGCTCCCCGCTGGCTCCTCTGCCGGGGCAGCCTGGGGGCAGGTTTGGGGGGCACAGCGGGTTTCAGCGCCTGCTGACCCCCAGCCACGCGTTTGGCACCCGGCCTGACGGCGGCTCTCCGGGCTGCGCTGCTGGCAGCGGCCCCGCGCTGCTCCCAGGCCAGGCGAGGGCAAGGGGTCCTGCTGGAAACCTGCCTGCGCGCCTGGAAGGGGGTCCCGGCACGCCGGGATTCGCACAGCGCGGTCAGCAGCAGCAGAGGAACTGGCCACAGCGTGGGGATTTGCGGGAGGCGTCTCAGAAGCTGGGGACATGGGTGACCCGGGCAGCAAGAACAAATGTGTGGGTGGGTCGTGTTTCTCCTTGAGCTGCTGCAGGAGGGGGATGCCCTAATCATGGTGAAGAGTCAAAAAGAGTAAAAAATCTGGGAGCCTCTAGTAAGGGCTTGGGAAACAGGGAAAAGGGCCTTTAATGAACTTCCTATCCAAACCCTTGGTTGATTGTCTGACTGAAATAACAGTTACTCGCAGCTTTCCTTTCTACCTTCAAGCCTGCGGTATATAACGAGACGTGAAGACAGCCAGGAAACACGCTCCCATGACACACAAGCAACTAGACCGCTGAGGGGCACGAGGCTCCCCCGCTCCCGGCGCCCCGGGCCGTACCTGGGCG